TGCAGCATCCGGAGGTGCCCCCATGGTTTGGCTACTGGATGGTGTCTGTAATTTATCTGTGGAGAGGGTCTGGGTTTGGGTCTGGTGTGGTTGATTGGTGATGGCGTTCTGTGTGCCTCTGGAGCCATCAGGTTTTTTGTAGACTAGGACGTCAAGGAAGGGAAGTTGGTTGTTGGCTTCTATTTCCATAGTGAATTGTATTTTGGGGTGTAGGCTGTTGAGGTGTGTGAGGAAGCTATCTAGTTTTTCCTTCCCGTGTGGCCAAATTACAAAGGTGTCGTCAACATATCTGAGCCAAAGTTTGGGTTTGTGTTCTGACTTGTCTAAAGCATTGGTTTCAAAGTGTTCCATGTACAGGTTTGCGATGACCGGTGAGAGGGGTGATCCATAGGTGCTCCTTCTATCTATCCTTCTAAAGATACAAACATCTTTAGTCTACAAAAAACCTGATGGCTCCCTAGGACACACTATCTACCGGAAAAAAACACACACCAACCGCTACTTACATGCACAATCACACCACCACCCTGCACAAATAAACTCCGTAGCCAAGACTCTCATCTCCAGAACCAAACGCCTGGCTGACAAAGACCACTTGACAACTGAGTTACAGAATCTCTCAAATGTGTTAATCGCCAATGGATACCAGCAAAACAGGGTTACGAAGCTAATCCAAAAAGAAACACCCCCCAAAAACCAAGACACAGAAGAAAACAATGGCATGGCCCTCCTTCCTTATATCAAGGGCACTACAGATAAAATTAGCAAAATCCTCCATAAACACAATATCAAAACAGCCTTTTGCACCAACCAAAAAAATAGCCAATATCCTCAGAAACCCCAAGGATAAAATCCAGTTGGAAAACCAAGGGGTCTATGAAATACCCTGCAAAGTCTGCCCAGCCACGTACATTGGACAAACAAACAGACGAATAAATGCACGTATCGCAGAACACAAGAATGCCGTCAAAAAAGAAGAAAAAACTTCCTCTCTTTTCCAACACATGAAAGAAACAGGACACGAAATTAATTTTGCAGATTCCAAATTGCTCTTTAACATGGAACATCACCACAAGAGAATAATCATGGAAGCCATCGAGATAGAGAAACACCCTCACAACATGAACAAGCGTGACGACACATCCCGCCTGCCAGACATCTGGAAATTAGCCCTCCCCACAAAAACCGACACCAGATCCAGAGGCACACAGAACGCCATCACCAATCAACCACACCAGACCCAAACCCAGACCCTCTCCACAGATAAATTACAGACACCATCCAGTAGCCAAACCATGGGGGCACCTCCGGATGCTGCACCCCCCTGCAATCCCTACACAGATCTGGCTGGCACAGGCCACAAAACCACAGCTCGCCCCTATACACGAAGCCAAGCCAGAGCACAACTAAGTGCAGTACAGCCATCTTCTCAGAAAAACTCTTCACAAAGTTCAAGAGGTCAAGACACGAAGGCTTTAGCAACTAATCCACACCTAATGACCCACCTAAGTGGTACTCAGGATATCACTCAAGAAATCACTCAAGATATCCCTCAAGTAATTAAGGAACAAAAGAAGAAAAGGCACACCAGCCTGGGAACTTCCTCTCTGCCCAGAACATTGGAGGCTATACACCACACCTCCTCAACAGTATTTATAGGAACTCAAACACTGAGATCCTGCTCTGTTCCAGTAACAAGAAGCCGAAAGCACCAGCCTGAAGATGACGAGTGAGACCTCGTCGAAACGTCGCCTAGACACCCCAACTTTTACACGGGAAGACACCCGAGGACACCAAAACCTGCATATATATATATATATATATATATTTAGTGTGTGCCCTGGGCTCCTTTGTGAGGAAGGGCAGGATGCAAATTTAATAAATAAAGTGAAAATGAAAATAAGTATTTTTCATTTCTCCTGCCAAGCTGCTCCAACCCAACCATCTGCTCAAAGTTCTTGCTAAATGTTCTTGCTACACTGTTCAGTGTCGGCTTCAAGCCAAAAGCAGCATACAAACTCAAATAACTTTATTTGAAGCTCAAAAGGATGCAACACGAATAGGAACAAAACAGCAAGCACAGACAACAAAGCATGTCTATAGAATAGATCCCTGCTAGCTGCAGACTCACAGCTTTAGACCCAACAATCAGGAAGTGATCTTTGAAAAATTCAGCAATGCTTCCTTACTGAATGGTTCCATACATCACACACCCTTTGCTCCAGCTATGGAAGCTCCTCCTATGGCTCTAGATACTAGGACACCTCTGAATAGCGGAACTACAACAGAGAAGAACTGCTGCTGCATCCCTTCCATGTTGCTTTCCCAGTGTCACTTCACTTGCTAAGTCACTGCTGGAATCAGTGTCTTTCCCCACAGTCATTATTAAGGCATTTCCACCGACAGACAGGCTCTGCCCATTTCCTCTGCTTAGCCAATCAAAATATTCACTACCAGTGTGATGGGATGATGAGCTGCTTGTGCGTAAAAGCGTAGTCCCTCAGAGTCTGTGCACGTTCACAAACCTCTGTCTGTGACGGAGCCCCTCAGACATGGCTGCTCTAGTCACTTGCAGATTCCGACAGTGGTTGCTTTCGGAATCGTTTCCAGCATAAAAGCTCCTTAACGGAAACACGTCTTCTGGACTCACGGCGTGACAGTTTCCGGCGAGGCGTGGGTCTCCCTATGGGAGCTTCAGATACCTCCCCACTGTTCTCGCTGGAAGCGTCTCTGAGCCCTCCCTCCTGCTCGCATTCCCTCAGAGATCCACTCCTCCCCCGGCTGGTTCCTGCTTCAGCTGTTGAGTCTCTCCCAGCCTCCCTGAGCCCCTCCACCACCTGTTCCTCCGATGGCAGTTCCCTGACATCCAGCAAGCTCCCACTGCTGCCTCCAGCATCTCTCTCCCACCACCGAAATGGCTGTCAGGCCCGAAAGGAGGCAGAAATCCAAACAACAGAAGATCAAGGTAAAGGAGGGGCTGACACAAATGTGAACTTTGGGGAAATGCTGCAGAGCCAAGGCAGAATTGCGCGCTGTTGACAGAAAGAGGGGCCGCTCGAGAGCTGTAATTGAGTGATTATGGCCTTCTGTTTAAAATATAAAAGTTGACACGGGCTAGGGAACTAAAGCAGACCTACTGAGATTAATGAGCATAACTAAGTTAGGTTCATTAACTTCAACAGGTTTACTCTTGAGTAAAATGCAGTTGCGCACCACCCAGTGTAATTACGGTATATCCAGAAGTCAGGCACATACATTAGTCCATCACAAGACTTCAATGCTTAAAGGTAAAGGTACCCATGACCATTAGGTCCAGTTGCGGATGACTCTGGGGTTGCAGTGCTCATCTCGCTCTATAGGCCGAGGGGGCCGGCGTTTGTCTGCAGACAACTTCCGGGTCATGTGGCCAGCATGACTTAGCAGCTTCTGGCATACCAGAGCAGCACATGGAAACGCCGTTTATCTTCCCACCGGAGCGGTACCTATTTATCTTGCACTTTGACATGCTTTTGAAGTGCTAGGTTGGCAGGGGCAGGGACAGAGCAACAGGAGCTCACCCCATCGCGGGGATTCGAACCGCCAACCTTCTGATTGGCAAGCCCTGTTCCCCATTCGGGGGATGTGGGTGGCGCTGTGGTCTAAACCACTGAGCCTCTTGGGCTTGCCGAAGGTCGCGGTTCAAATCCCCACAACGGAGTGAGCTCCCATTGCTCTGTCCCAGCTCCTGCCAACCTAGCAGTTCGAAGGCACGCCAGTGCAAGCAGATAAATAGGTACCATTGTAGTGGGAAGGTAAACGGCATTTCTGTGCTCTCTGGTTTCCATCACAGTGTTCCATTGCGCCAGAAGCGGTTTAGTCATGCTGGCCACATGACCCAGAAAGCTGTCTATGGACAAACGCTGGTTCCCTCGACCTGAAAGTGAGATGAGTGCCTCAACCCCTTAGTCGTCTTTGACTAGACTTAACCGTCCAGGGGTCCTTTACCTTACCTTTTTTACCTTTACTCCCCATTCCAGGAGGAATAGGAGATATTTGGCAGTATGAATGCAGCCATTTTTTTTATTATTCATTTGAATGGGAGATTGTGCTGGGGGTGGAGATATATGTGCTAAGGAAAGTATTGGCTGCCAGGAATATGCTCACTATGTGTTCAGAGACAGGCATCTCCCCTTCACATTTCACAAGCTTCTCCACAACACACACCATGCAAACACTGATGTCGGAGTGCCATGTGAAGCAGATTTAAGACTTGCTTTCTTCTGGGAAAGTGGGTAGCGGGGGAGGAGGTTTGCAGCAGGGAGCAGCAAGCACAAATCTCTGTGAGCTGCCACGGGTTCCCCCATAATTTCTCTTTAAAAAAATTCCCCTTTGTTTGGTTGCATGAATACTGTCATTCAATGTTCTCTGCTATAACGTTCAGTTACAGAGAGGTATGCAGAAATAAGACACCGATATATTTCGGTCCCTCCATTTCGTTCCAATTAAGAAGATTTATGGTAGCTCTTGTTCAAAAGAACTTAATTTTGATCCAATGCACTAATCTGGCAGCGTTAAGATTTTCAAGAGGCCATTCCACATATCCTAAAAAGTTGCTGCTGCAATAGCAGGGCGGGGGCTTCTATCTGTTGCCTGCCTGCCATACCCTCTCTTTTCCAACCCCAGCAAGTTTCCCTAGCAACCACTAATGCATCCCCCCCCCCACCTGGGATCAAGCAGCTGCCTCTCCTTCACACTCTCCAAAGACTCTGCGGGTCAAATTATGCTTCTTCCCAGCTCAGGTTGTCAGGAAGATTTTTATCACACTTGAGCTAAAAAGATGCAAGTTATCCTTTACCGGGTGCTGCCACTGTCCGCTATACTTTGCACCTAACTACTTCATTTGCACATAAATAAACCTGCCTCTGCGAGGTTAGAAGCTGCTTGGGACAATTTGTCCTTGTAGACGTGACACTCAGGCACATGCCTTAGCCGCCGGAAGGGTAACAAATCACTATACTTACGGCTGGCACAGCTTGATAAGGTCCTGGTCGGTGGTGCCGGGTGGAAGGCCTCGGATGTACAGGTTGGTTTTACTCAACTGCTCGCCGCCGCTGCTGCTGTTGCTGCTGTTGTTGTTGCTACTATTAGTACTGGGGCTGGGAGGAGCCATGGGGTGGGGAGCTGGTGCATAGGAATGCTGAAAACAAGAAAGATCATTATTGGCAAAAAAAGAAGAAAGAAAAAACATCAGTGGCATTACAGGAGACAAGAGTGTCCTCCTAAGTGATCATGTGTATTTAATGGCAGCTGTGAAGCAACTTCCTCAGCCCAAACCTTTATTGCAGGCCGACATAGTTTTCACCTGTCAGGAGCGGGTCAGCAATAAATCACACAGAATAATTTATTAGAAGAACCAAGATCTGTTCAGGAGTGCCAGGCGTAATGAGCATAGCAACTCTTCTCAGTAGGTCTTGAGGCAGTTGCGGGGACTGAAGATCCCTGCCTTCACACAACTAAGTCTCCCTCTGTCTCAGGTCCTTCCCAAGCAATCTGAGACTATGCCAGTGTTCTGTCCTCTTCATACCTCTCCTGGTCCTTTGAGATGGGGGGCGGGGAGCTTGTAGCAGCAAGCGGGGCAGATACCCTGGCTTCTTCACCAGCCTGACTCATCTCTGCCTCTTGGCCTCTCTCCTCGCCTGCTACCCCTTCTGCTTCTAGACTTCTCTCTGTCACAGACTCTCCCTGCTCACTAAACCCTGTTACCTCTTCAGCTTCTGACACCTCCTCCTCCCAGGTTTCCACTCATCACTGTCCCGCCACCACTCCTTGGGCTCTGAGCCTTCTTCTTCCCTGGGGGTTCCACAGCTGATGCCTCCCACCATTCCTCTGCGTCCAGCCAGTCCACAAAACTGAAGCTGAAATGATTTCAGTAAGACATCAAAGCAGTGGTAGCTAGTGCCCTTGGGGACTGGAATGGCAAAAGGCCGGGGTGGGGAAGGCAATGGTAAGGAGAACCGAAGCCAATGACAAGTGGTCAACTAATTCTAGTGATGTCACTGTCCTCCTCTCTGCTGAGTTCTGCAAGGGCAAAACTAAGGAGGAAGAAGTTGACAGCCATGGCAAGCCCAAGGGTTGGTTGGTTGTAAAGATGCAGGCAATGGAGAGCTAGCTAAGTGCATCTCGCTGATGGACTACCCTCTACTGCATTTATGGAAGCACCATGCCATTGTCTCAAGGTTAGATTTAGGCCACTCCACTGCACTGAACATATAGTGACAAAGCATATACAGTGGTACCCCGCAAGACGAACGCCTCGCAAGACGGAAAACCCGCTAGACGAAAGGGTTTTCCGTTTTGGAGGCGCTTCGCAAAACGAATTTCCCTATGGGCTTGCTTCGCAAGACGAAAGCCCATAGGGAAATCTCCGGGGACCTCTTTTAAATGCTAGCGGTGGGGAGCAAAGCCTTTCCCCCCCCTCCGGCCTTCAGAAGAGGTCCAGGAAGGCCGGCGGGGGCCGAAAGGCTTTGCTCCCCACCGCCAGCATTTTAAAAGCAGTCCGGGATAGCAGGGAAGCGCTTCCCGCTATCCCGGACGGCTTTTGAAGGCAGGAGAGGTCCGCGAAGCCTGGGCGCGCTGATCTCAGCGCGCGCAGGCTTCGGCATGCCGGCAACTCTCCGCAAGCAGCGGCAGCGCTGCCGCTTCTTGCGGAGAGGTCCGCGAAGCCTGGGCGCGCTGATCTCAGCGCGCGCAGGCTTCGGCATGCCGGCAACTCTCCGCAAGCAGCGGCAGCGCTGCCGCTGCTTGCGGAGAGGTCCGCGAAGCCTGGGCGCGCTGATCTCAGCGCGCGCAGGCTTTGGCATGCCGGCAACTCTCCGCAAGCAGCGGCAGCTGTTCTCCGCTGCTTGCGGAGAGGTCCGCGAAGCCTTGGCCTGACAGCTTTTGAAGGCAGGCCGGGGGGGAGCAAATACTTTCACCCCCCGCCAGCCTTCAGAAGAGGTCCTGGACCTCTTCTGAAGGAGGGCGGGGGGCAAATGTCTTTGTCCCCCCTGCCTGCCTTCCCAGGGGCTTTTAAATTGCCCCGGACAGCGGAGAAGCCCTCCGCTGTCCCAGGGCGATTTTAAAATGCCGCCCGCCAGCATTTTAAGATCGCCCCGGACAGCGGAGAAGCCCTCCGCTGTCCCGGGGTTTTTTAAAATGCTGGGGGTGGGAAGAAAAGCCCTTGTCCCCCCCCCAGCCTTCAGAAGAGGTCGGGGGACAGACTGTCCCCGGACCTGGTCTGAAGTCAGTTTCCCTAGGAACGCATTAATTGATTTTCAATGCATTCCTATGGGAAACCGTGCATCGCAAGACGAAAAACTCGCAAGAAGAAAAAACTTGCGGAACGAATTAATTTCGTCTTGCGAGGCACCACTGTAGATAGATATAGATATAACTTCCTACTGATTGTAAGCCACCTTGGATGCTCCTATCTACTACATACAACAGAAAAGCAGGATATAAGTATTTTCACACAAGACACTCAAGATATGCCTGAAGTCAGAACATGTAATGCAATATATCTTGTAAGAGAAGAAGTGGGGTGTCAGAGGCGTGTCAAACAAAGACCTGTAAAATGAGGAAGCCATCTCAGTGGTAGAACACATGCTTTGCTTGTAGAAGGTCCCAGGTTCAATACCTAGCATCTCAAAGAGAATTAGGTAAGCAGGTAATGGGATGGGAAGAATCCCTAGTGGCTTGAGAACCGGGAGAACCATTCTCAAACTCAAAGGAGACAATCTAGGGCTAGATGAACATATAGTCTATGAGGCAGTTTCCTATATTCCTGTGACTGGCAAACTAAATCTGTCCCTCTACCTCCGATACTGAGCATGTGCTGACTTTCAACCTGTTGTCCAGGTTGTGATATACAAAGAAAAGAGAATTAAAAACAAAAACACATTATATGAGCTCACTATGGAGGATAGTAAGTGAAAATGATCAAAGTTCATTGCCTAGAAAAGCTGTCAGAAAGAATGAAGTTACTGCCAAAAGTTCAATCAAGTAATATCATCATTAAAACCCATATCACTGTCATGGCAACAATTAGATATGTTAATAGGAAATAATCTCAAGGATGTGAGGTTCTGGAAATTAAGAACAACCTTCTGCATCCCGGCGAATACAATTCCCACCAGCCTCAGTCAGCATAACCAATTGTCAGGGAAACATGGTCCAACATGGGGGGAGTGAATGCGGTCCCCTTCAGATGCTGGTGGGCTTCAATTACGATCGGCGCCAGACAGCACAGCTAGTGGTCTGGAACAACCTGACCACACTAACTAGCTCTGCTTTGGATGTCATTAAAAAGTCATAAATGAATCACAGGAGGTGGTGGTGCTCTTCAGAATTTGTATGTTGAGAATGGAAGTATTTCGAACTGGAGGAGATAGAGGAAGATGCCAAGGAACGGCAGCAGTGCCTCTTATCACTTCAGACAAATGAAACACGGCTGAGATAAGAGATGGTCATTGAGAAGGTTCTGACAAATGCTGTGATTCAGCACACTATAGGTACTGTTTGAAAACACCTTGTCCCAGTGGATTTCAAAGGGTGGTGTTGTGGCAGGAGAGGATGGCAACTGTGGCAGGAAGATTCAAGGACATTCAAAGAAACATTTCAGTGTAGTATAGTACAGTATTATATCAAAGTATTTCCCCCCCTATTTGCAGAATACGGAATGATCTTTTCAAAATGAGAGCAAGAACATCAAGCGATATTGAGGACAATCCTAGTTGTGCTTTCCAATTTCTTACCAAAAAAATAAATTAAATGTTGTGGTGCAAGCAAAATTTATTCTGAAAGTGTGGCCCAGAGAGAAAACGTTTGAGAACCACTGCCTTATCCATTGTATTGTATTATGATTATTTATCTTTTTAGCAGTAGGACTATTATCCCACATCATTTATACAGCACTGCATGTGTTACCTTAAATATAATTGTCATGGCATTATAGTCCTCTTCACTCTATTGTGCCTAGCAAAACTATGGCAATAATTATGAAAAATTAACCATGGAATGACTGATCTCTTCTAAGGATGAGCCCGATTATAATTGCAAATTAATTAACAGTACCTTAAGGTCATATTTAGATATTTCAAAGAAACATCAAGTAAGGAAGTTATTGCTTTTAATTTATCTGACATTGTCAACTCAGCATTGTACTTTGCAAATAAGTGCTAACAAAGTAATTATCTCCAAAAATGTATCATTTTATTTTTAAAAAAATACTAATTCTCTCTGAGAATCCAAAACAAGAAAATGGTTTAGTTGTTTTTGAACACAGTTGGAATTATTGCATGCCTTTCATAGAGAAAATATTATCTATCAAAACTAAGTCTATTCAGTTAGTTTTTCACTGGGGAAACAAGGGGGCTTATCAAAATATCAGCGTCTTGCAAAAGAAGAAATAAAAATGGCCAATTTCCATCTAATGGCTAATTCACACAACACTCCTTTTATCCCTCTGAGCATTCCCTAGATCCATGAACACATGCTTACAAGAGTAATTACAATGTAAGAACTGGGTAATTAATCACAGACAGTCAGAAGCAATTCCTGTGACCATAGTGGTACCCCATTCCTGAATATATATCTGGCTGAAAATGTGCATCAACACAGCTACTAAAATCCCACCTTAAAGGTAAAGGTAAAGGGATCCCTGATCATTAGGTCCAGTTGCGGACGACTCTGGGGTTGCGGCGCTCATCTCACTTTACTGGCCGAGGGAGCTGGCGTACAGCTTCCGGGTCATGTGGCCAGCATGGCTAAGCCACTTCTGGCAAACCAGAGCAGCTCACGGAAACACTGTTTATCTTCCTGCTAGAGTGGTACCTATTTATCTACCTGCACTTTGGTGTGCTTTCAAACTGCTAGGTTGGCAGGAGCAGGGACCGAGCAATGGGAGCTCACCCCGTCACGGGGATTTGAACTGCCGACCTTCTGATCAGCAAGCCCTAGGCTCTGTGGTTTAACCCACAGCACCACCCGCGTCCCTAAAATCCCACCTTAGTGCTTTCTAAACAAATGATAAGAACATAGATTTATGCCTTTAGGTCTGCGCAAAGGACAGTTGCTCTGAGTCTCATCCCTAGAATGTGAACCACTTTTTTAAAAACACAAGTAGTATGCATATGCATATGTATATATATATATATAGAG